TCGCTCGTGGCGCGCAGACGCGCGGGTGTGCGCAGGCGCAGGAAGCCTTGGCACAGGGTGGGATGGTATGGGACGGGCCAGCGATGAGGGCCCCGTGGTCGTGTTCCGAGGCCGGCCTGGCGGTGTGTGGACGCTTCTTTCCATTTCCCTTCCTTTCCTCCGGCTTCTCAGTGTGATTTTCTTGGTGAGTTTTTTGAGGAGAAAGAAAGGGAAACGAGAGACCAGGGTGCGTTCTCCTGCCTCGCCTCGACCTGCCGCCGCTCTGGTGTGAGCGCCGGGGTCGCGCTGTTCCGCTTCCGGCCGACGAGGAGCAGCCTTTTCGGCGGCCCTTGGATTTTTGCCCATTTTGAGGGAGGTGCTTCTTAGAAGCGGTTTTCTTCCTTTTTTAAACCTTTGACTTTTCCCTTGATTTAGTTGCACACGTGACTGCTGGAGCCAGTTTATTAGCTTAAAAGTTATTTTGTTTGTGTGAAGGGAGTTAGCCGGTCTTCAGGGAGGTCCAGTGCCCAGGGAAGGAGAGCCGCCCACAGATGAGGAATTGGCTGCCTAGAGGAGGATTGAAGAGCCTGATGGCTCGCAGTTAAGCCCGAATAACTTTAGTTCCTAGCTGGAGGGCTTTGTTGATTGCGCAGAGCCTTACTTTGAGCTTTAAAAATTTCATGAGATGAGAATAACTAGTTTTTCTTAGTCAGTTTGGTCAGATTTTAATTTTTTTCCAGGCCATTGAACAGACGCTTCGTAAGTAAAGGGAGTGAATGATTCTCTTTATTTCTTCACATCAGATTGAAACAAATAGATTTAGATAAGGCTTTTGATTTAGATCTGTTTATACCACTTTGCCCCTTTGTTTTCTTTGCAGTATTGCACCCCCCCTTGTTTTCCCTATATAGAGAAAACACTTTGGGGTCGCTGTGAATATACACGCTAAAATTTTATTTATTTTTAACTTCATGTGTGTGTGATTTATTTCATTTAACATGGTCCTAAGTTCCAAACAATTTCATACAAATGACAGGATTTCATTCTTTTTTTATTACTAATATGTATGTGTGTGTATGTATGCACATATATATATATATAATTCATCTATGTGTCTGCTAATATATATATACACACACACACACACACACACACGAATTATGTTCATCTTTGTGTTAATGAACACAGTTTTTTTTGTTGTTAAAATTTTAACTAAGGGTTTATGGAACAATGCCATTACTCAAGTGGATGGTTACTGGCCAAAGTCTATAAAATTTTTTTCTTTTTGACCTTGCTGTATTTTGAATCTAGGGCCTCAGGCGTGGTAGGATAGTGCTCCATCTACCCCACAAGTGCCCTAATTTGAAAGAACTCTTGGGAACTATTTATGTCCAGCCAGTGTCTGGAAAAGCTAGGAAAGGCAGAACCTCATTGCTGCAGTCAGCACTAAATAGCCTTAGCTATCCTTGATTTCCTAGGTTACTGAAATAAAATGATTTCAGTGATGTCGGTACTGTGCTTTAAGGGATACTGGACAGAATTTGCTTAACACTTGTAGTATATTGAGTTTAAGTCATGAATCTATTAAATCGTTTGGAAAGAAACTATGGATTAAACATTTGGTCTGTAATTCTGCTTGCACTTTGAAACTATGTTTCAACCAAATACATTCCTATTTTTTTTATTATTTTCCTCAAAATGGCAGTACTGCTCAAGAAAATGCCTGTGTGCATCATCATGACCATAGGAAATTAGTAATATCTATTCAGGGATCAGCAAACTTTGTATAAATGGCTCAGTAAATAATTTAGGACTGTGCAGGTCAGGTGATCTCTTGGCACAGCTATTCAGGTCTCCCATTCTCTTCCTAAAGCAGCCACAGGCAGTACCGAAAGGATGAGTCCACAAGTGAGCAAGTTTTCTTTCATTGAAATTTAATTTATAAAAATATGATTGCCAGATTTGGCATGTTAATTATAGTTTGTACAGACCTCCAGTATAAATGGTATTGTACATGAACAAATTAAGAGTTTTGTTTTGCTAAATATTATTTTAATTTATTTAAGCAAATAGGTGTAGATTGGGAAACAAGTAGAAGGAAAATAAGCCACTTAGGAGGATAGGTGCTTTTTTTAAAAGTTTTTAATGTTACAAAATTGAGAGGAGGGTTGAGATCGTTATGATATCAATGGTAGACAAGAGGACAAGCTTAGCTATCTTTGATAGTAATATAAAGACAGATAAGTTGAATATTTAAAATTATGATTTTGGTTACAAGCTCCTTGTGATTACAGCCTGGCTTTAGAATGTGTGATCTTTGTACTCCCTCTACTTGTCTTATTTCCTGGGGAGTAGGTAAAGGCTTGTAGAATGAATTGGGGCCGAGCAAAGCTTCCCCTCTGCTTAACTAGTTTATGTACCAGTCTATTTGCATTTTATTTTTATTAACATATTAAATAACAATTTATTGCCATGAAGTTCAGTCATTAAATTTTTAAAGCCTCAGAATAGCTTTATAAGGTAATGAGCTAGATCTAGACACTTCTCAGAAATTTAAAAAGATTTTTATTAAGATAGGATGATAGGCATAATTTTTTTTACAAGTTATTCAACTATACCCAGTTCTTGTGAAGTAGGTTTTTTTTGTTTTTTTTTTTGAGACAGGGTCTCACTGTGTAGTGAGAGACTGACCTGGCATGTAGCTCAGGCTGGTCTCGAACTCACCTCCTGCCTCAGCCTCCCCAGTGCTGGGATTACAGGCGTGCGCCACCACGCCCAGCTGTGAAGTAGTTTTTAAGTGTAACATCTTGTGTTTTGCTTTGGAAAGGAATATAACAGCAATCAAACATTTTAAACTGGTGGCAAATAAATCATTTTTACAATAGGGTTTTGTGGATTCCTTAGATTTGAAAATTAGATGATTTTGTAAACTGAAAAATTCATTATTAATCACTTTGCAAGTAGAAATTGATACGTTAGAGCATAATTTTGCTTGATTATCATCTGAGGATAAAACAGTTGCAAAAAAATTACAGAATATTATTGTGCACTCTTGCTGAAGAGTATTAACTGAACCTGTTGTGGTGAAACATACCTGTAATTGCAGTACTCAGGAGGCTAAGGCAGGAGGATTGCTGTGAGTTTGAGGCCAGCCTGGACTGCATAGTGAGACCCTCTCTCAAAAATACAAGAGAAGAAAGAAAGAGATATGAAGGATGTGAGAGTGCAAGCATCTCATTTCACCCTGTTTATAAGCTTAAAATGGAATTCATCTTTTTTCCTTTGGGAATTGTGCATTTGTTACCTGTTACAGCACTTAATTGCCTTCTGTTAGTCTAAGAAGATTTTTATGCTGAAATATTGATAAAGAGTTTATAAATTGGCTTAATTTTTTCTTTAATTCATATATACTTTCCACTGAAGTTTTTTGAAAAAGGGAAATGAGTTAAAATTTAAAATGAGAGGGCATAAGAGAAGACAAGATACAGAAGGTAAAATTAGCACATAATGTTTGGTTTACAATCTTCTATTAATGGTGTTGATGTTCAGTGTTGTAACAAGTATAAAGTAGAATAAAAAATATTCAGTGTATAAAAACAAAATAGATAATATACAGTTATTACTGACACAGAGATCAGGAAAAAAAAGTTATGTGTTGTGAAGTTAGAAAAAGACCTAATGTTGTAAGCAGAAGCCTGCTGAACAGAAGGTTAATCAGATTTTATTACATAGGGATAAGCACCGTTATTTTTTCTAATGGTGTATAAACTAAACTGTAAAAAAATTTGCCTAACCTTGTGTCTGGATATTCTGATTCCGTGTTTATATTCTTAGTTCTTTGTAGTGGACACAATATTTCATATTCTCAGTGCTAGACACATGCTATGTTTTGAATTTATTCATTAGCTAAGAGGTAGCTGTCTGTAGAAGATGCTCTATTTGTACTCTTTATAGTAGATACTATTTTATATATATCATGTAGTTATTCAGGTGGTTAAGATAGGCCAAAGTAACAGTTTACTCATTTCATACATTTATTGTGCTGATTTTTTTCCCCTCTGATCATCAAACAGTTAAATCATTAGAATTTCAGGTGTAATAGTGAAAAGTTTGATTATTTGGTTGTATTGCCTTTTTTATTGCTCAGTGGTAGAAATACTTTCAGTATTGGTTAGTAAAGTTATTTCCTATGACAATACATATATTAAAAAGGCCCAGTGTCTTCATCTTTTAATAATAGATTTAGGGAAACATAAAAATAATTAATATAGTTCTCAAAATTATAGATCGATTTTTAAGTAATGGATTATTATATGTGTAGAATTTTGTGGTTCTATAGTAAATGATTAACTTGAAATTTTTTGCATTTTAGATTTCCAGTGTTTGCAAAGGTTGGGTTTGCTTCAGCATCAACAAACTTCATGGAGATTGTTCCTGTATGTTTTGTTTATGAGTCATTGGAGTTAAGCACAGCATATACAACCTGAAAAGTCAAATAAGGATATGAAGTCCATCTTTTGACAGTTCTAAGTTTACTTGTAAGTTAAATTCAGAGTTAGCTTAAAATGGTTTAAATGTTTAATTACAAAACAGTCTAGTAACATAGATAATTAGGACTGCACAATTCAAAGTTTTTATAACATTTAAACATACCATTTAATATGATAATTTTTTTCATATTCTGTCAGGAAGCAGAAGAAAAACCCCATTATGTGTTTGTAAAGTTATTTGAGCCAATTTAAATAGTTATTGTAGCAGTTACTAAATTATATTTTATAAGACAAAATATTTGAGTTGTTTAGCATACGTTTGTGTGGTTTTTTTTGTTTGTTTGTTTTTGTTACTGGGGATTAGACTCAGGACCTTGTGCTTGTGA